GGGAAAATAGCTAGATTTGAGTCCAGTAGGGAGATCAGGCTCTTGAAAGCTCCTACCCCGAAAATCTGGTTGGTCTCTTAAGGTGCTGCTGGACTCGAACCGGGCTGTTCCACTGCAGACCAACACGGCTACCCTCTGAGACCATCTGATTAAAGGACCACAGAGCCAAAACTCAGGCAGGCGTTTGCCTTTTAAGACAGGTCTGCTCTCACCCTAAATATCCATTCCCAGAGGAAGCTCTTAGCAACATAGATAGCCAACAGTTAAGTCAAATATCTTATCAACTTGTAATAATTTAAAAGAAAATTGCTATAAGATGATGTATAGATGGTATATGACGCCAAAAAAGACTGCAAATATGAATAGTAATATGTCAAAACAAATGTTGGAAGTGTAAAAATGCAGAGGGCTCGTTTTATCATATGTGGTGGACATGTGAAAAGGCTGAAATGTTTTGGGCTGAGATACATGCAGAAATGGAAAAAAATTGTGAAAGGTAAGTTTAAGAAAGAACCAGAAATACTACTGTTGGGACTGAAAATGGAAGAAGTCAATATGGCAAAAAGGATGTGGTATATGATCACGACTCCCAGAATGACGTACGCTCAATGTTGGAAACAAGATAAGGTTCCCGAAATAGGGGAATGTATTAAAAAATTACTTTTTATGGCTGAAATGGACAAAATGACAAGGAAACTTAACAATTTGGAAGCAGAAGAATTTTTTGCAGACTGGATAGACTTTAAAGACTATTTGGAGAAATATTGGGATGCAAAGGAAAATTTACTTTGCTTTGAGAATTATTGAAAATTAAAGGACAGTAGAAAATAGATAATTGTATAAGACTAACAGTTGAAGATTAAGTTACCTGTGGATGTGAATAAAGAGATGAGGAGATATGAAGAAAATTTAAGAATTGGGCAGGAGGTTGGAGCACTGTGGGAAGCCGAGAAGGGGGGGGGGGGGGAGAAGGGAAGGATATATAATTGTATACGTTTTGATATATGTTTGAACATTTCTTTTTTATTATATCCTAATAAATTGTTTTTTGGGGGGAAAATCTTACTTTTATGCAACTTGAGGATGGTGTAGGCCATGGCTGTTAGGACCCGCTCTCCTTCCAGGATGTAGATATCCCATAGTCGCAGGGTTAAAGTAAATGGAGTCTGTTTACGATATTGAATAACAAATCAGATGTTATACTAGTACATTTCCACTGAAGCCAAAATGCATACAGTGTAGGAACCAAATTTCCTTTATCAAATCTAGATATATTTTCAAAACCATATGTACACATTTCTCATGTATCTAAGCAAAAACAGATAATACATGGTGTCCATTGTTTGCTACTTCAGTATTAAAAATCAAATAATTTCAGTCCAGACTCCAGTGGATAACATAACCTTCCCCTAAATCAACTTGGCAATTTAATTTATGCAATCTTACTACTCTAGGTGAATACATAGAAGAAGAAGGCGGCCCCGGTCACACGGGCTAGATAATGCGGGGGAGGGGGGGAGGAATAGTTGTTCGCCCTGGAGCAAAATAAAGTTGTGCGCTCCCGCAGGAAATGATCCCTGTCTTCAGCTATGATTCCTAAGTAAATTCTTCATCTGAACGAGATCTCTGCCACTGACTGAAGCAGTGGGAGATTAAAAAGGAAGTGGTGTATAGTCAAAGTGCCTGTTAGCAAATGAGTCTGTGAGCAAAGCAAGACATTCCCATCACTCTAAAGTCAGAGTGAACATTAACCATATATTATTAGTAACAGAAAAAGATTACCATGTGCTTTTTCAGCTTTGGGAAAACTTTGCCTAAGATTTTCTCATGGTGAGCCTGGAACCTCTGCAGCTTTGGGAAGCCAGGAATAAAAAACCCTTGGAAAAGAAAATGCCACACATCACACAGGCAGAAGCACATAGAAACAAAAGCTGAGCAGCCGCACATCTAATGTGGGTACTTAACAGGGGCTCTTGATCACCAAAGGTGCACCAAATCTAGCAGTTCACAAGGCACACAATGTACGGATTAAAACCAGGTGCTTGTCTTTTCTTTGGATTTTATGAGATAGGATTTGGATGGGATCTGTAACTCAGTACAGGACAAAGATGATGCTGTGGCAGAACAGAACAGCCAGAGATCAAGCATCTATGCACCAACCACTTTGCACATCATCAAGGTTACTCGCATGACAGAAGTTTTTATGGCCTGTGGGCCAGAGCCATCTCATCCCTGCTAAGGTGCTAGTTATAAAACTGAATTCCAGTATGTTAAACTAACAATAATGACCGCAATGTGGAATCATGTGATTCCATCATTGCTGAAATCTATAAGAGGTGGGGGGGGGGTTTTTTGCCACCCCTTATAAACCTAGATCCGACATATACAGAAGAGCTGCCCAAATCAGTGTGCTCTTTCTAACTGGCACCTACTGTTGCTCTAAGGAAAACACAAACCATCCTTTTCCAATAAAATGGTGTTTGGGCAGAGATTATCGCTTTATTTCATCCAAAAGTTCTATCAGGAAGAAGCTTTCATGTGGTCAGGTTTTAAGCAGCATACTACATTTTTTTTTGGATGGGTGCATGAAGAACTGTGCCTTCCAACATATTTCAAG